AAAAGATGTATTTTTTTTTTTTTTTAACGTAAAAATTAAATAAACATATGTGATGGTCTTCTGAGATTTATTTAAGAGAGAAGATTATCCGTCTACATATATAAACATAAAACAATAATTTCAAAAAATACTTGAAATATAATTCACTTGAGAAGTTATTTTGAGCATTCCTGTATTTTGTTTATAGAGTACTTTTTAGATGTTTTAAAAGATTTTGATGACAGAATTTTTAAACTATAGTTTACATTGTTTCCTTATTCATACAAATATCAATATATTGATGAAAGATGACCATTTTCTAATATAAGTAAATATACTTTTTTTGACAAACAAAATGGACTGAATGAGACAAATATATGGCGAATATGTTAAATATTTATCGTCGTTATCAATCTCACAATACATTTTTTCTAACAAATTACGTGAATTTTCGCCTTCGGGACAGGAATACTGCGGAGATCAGAGAGAAAAAGAGTGAGTGAATGAGTGAGTGAGTGAAAGGGAGAAAGGAGTAAAAACATTTCTCTCAGAAGTATGACGTTCAATTGTTTTATGACTCTCAGCGATCAAAATGTAAAAATTTTCAAAAAGCTTTCAACAGTAAGAAAAAAAAAATTTTTTTTTCTTCTTTCAATTATTAGAGGGTAGAGATGTCCTCCATTAAAAGAAAAAAAGAAGGTCTCTGATTTGCATACAAAACAAGAGCTTAATAACAAATTAAAATTTTTCGTCTTATCAACTAAAGTATTATTTTAATAATAAATTAACTTAACTTTTTCATCTGATTATTTAGACTATTAAATGTTTAACTTTCTGATCAGTAGATGCGATATATACTACAATTGTAAGTAGTCAAAATATTTTTAATTCATCAATATCTAAATAGTTCATCTTTAACATTACAAATTAGATCAGAGACATGTCTACAATGAAATATAAAATATTATGATATGTTCATTCAAACATTTAGTAAAAATAAGAGAGAGAAAGAGAGAGAGTGAGACAATATTTATAATGTTTTTCAAAATAACATGATGATGATAAATGATATAAATATTAATAAATATTCATCTACAAATCATATAATACTATTTTCTCAAACATTGACATTTAACTATTTATTAAATTTAAATTGAACATATCCACAATGATTCATAGACTTTCTAATATTTTAATTATAAAACTTAATATTTAAAAAATAATGTAAAAATATGTAAAACAACTGTATAATCAAGTTTTCTTCTATTCTTCTAGCATCCATAATACTTTTCACTATCATATCTTGGAATGAATCGTAAACCAGTATAAATCAAAAAATAAAACTTTCACACTACGTACTACTATAGAAAAAAAAACTTACGTTTTTCATTTTTGAGTATCTTTAACATATGTTTGTCATTCGTATGATGGATTTTTATTTTTCATTTATAAAAATATGATTCAATTCGATTATCCACAATACTCAACGAGTCTCTTACTATGAAAACTAAAAATTATGTTCTGACAATGACTTAAAAATTATTTACTTACAATATATTATATTAATGATATGACTTCATCCTATTCTATATTATAAAAATATCAAAAAAATTGTATTGTAAAAATAATACTCCAAAATATAATTAGAAAACACTTTTGTAAAAATGGCAATGTCAGATTTATATCTTAACAGTAGACAATGAATATACGTTCAAAAGCAAAAAAGCAAAAAAAAACAAAGAAGCGGATGAAGAATATTTAATAGTTCAACTGTACAAATGATCAGAAAATCATAGACGAGAACTTTTTATTTTATTTTATACTGTGTAAACTAGAGATAGTAGCAAACTTAACATCAAGTCTAATGAGCATACTTGTAATCACTTACATGTTTAATAACATTTTTGTGTGTGATTTATTTCACTTTATACAGATGTTAATTACGATCAAAGATAATAAATGAGAATTTCTCATAGACTTTTTTTTTCTTCTTATAGATATCGTCGTATGATAATTTAAATTCTTGACTAGACAAATAGTAGTACAGAAAAATGTTTCGATTTTGAATATTTATAATATTTAAAAAATGCAGAAAAATATAAATATATATATATATTTGAGAAAGTAATAAGCTCATACCATACAATCAATAAAAAAATATTTCTTTTTTCTTTTTTGTCTTCTTAATTTTCTATTATATGCAAGAATAAAATGCTAATAAATTTGATATTTATTTTCTGTCTTTATATATTAGATCAAATTACCTCCCACCATTCTTATAAATATCATCCACTGCAATTTAGAATTAAAACAATTTTTAATAAAAATAATTTATACAATCAATTTTTTTTGGTAAATACCAATTATTTTATGAATATTAGCAATATTTCTCATGTTGAAAATCTACCTATAATCAACAAAATTATTGTTGTTATAAGTCAATTCAAAGAATAGAAGAAGAAACTCTAAATATTTATATTTAATATATTCAATTCTTCTCTATACTTCTTAGTTTTATACACCGTTTGTTTTTTTTTTATCAAAATTTTGAATATTAATTTTTGTTTACCTTCTTTTCTTAAAAATTTTCGATTTTTTCCCGATTCACGATTGGAAAACGATGAACTTTTTGTGTATTTAGTTTGTTTTTGTCCATTGTTGCTGTTATTGTTGTTGTTGTTGTTAGTTTCATCATCGATGCGATCATCGCTTGGAGGTGCTGTATGATAAGAATCCATTAAACTAGAATTGAAAAAAAAAAGAAGAAGTTAGTACTATTCAGTATAATTCTACTTAGTTGTCTATTCATTTATTTATTCACTCAATTTTTGACTTTACATTTCTTTCTCCCCCTCTCTCTTTCTCTCGTCATCCATTATTTGATTATATTTCTTGACTTATATGGCACGGTTAAAGTGAAAATTGAAAGTTCTGCGGTTTAAAATGGAAAAAGAAAGAACAAAAAAAAAATATTTTAACATTTTCAACAATCAAGAACCTTGAAATTACAATTACAACTATCGCGTACACACACCGCTCTATTCTGTAGAACATACGTTTTTTGTTTATATATTCATTGAACATCTTTTAACACGTTCTCAAATCGAAAAATTTATTTTTTTTAGAAATAGCAACTCTTTAACTAATGACAATAAATCAATTGAACGACTAATAATCTTGAAGTTCAATACACAGTCGTAAATATCTAACAGTACTTCATTTTCCGCTGAAAAAATTGCAACTGATTGTCAACAATCACCAATGTAAAAAGTATAAAATAAGTTTTAGCGATCGATGCTTATTATCTATGGTAAAATGTATTTGTTATTTACCAGACAAAACGAAACAAAAAAATGTAATCATTCATCGTAGTTATCAAGAATCTGATTTACTACTAATGTTTAAATTTAGCATGACTAATAGTACCTCATCATTAATTTTATCATTTTTACTGAAGGAATGAACATCAAAACAGAGTAAAAGTAGTACTGATGACTTTTTCGTAGCAAAACAGAGTTCGAAACATTCTGCAGTATAATATATCAATTAATCAAAAAAACTGAAAAAATTTAAGGTAACCAATTCAAAATGAAAAAATAATTTGTGGCTGCTAGACGATTTTCAAGTAGGTACATTTTAGCCTTGAAATGAAGTAGATGCACGATTTCGTTGTTTAAATTGTGAAAAATTGAAATAATCTTTTAAATTAGTAAAACATGATATAAACCTACTAGTCGGTTCAAACCGTTTTCTTATCTAAGATGATACTTTTTCTTTATAAATACAATACATCTTTCATTTGTTTTCTTTGTGAACGATCTCGCTGTCATTAAAAATATTCACGTTTTTAAATACATATCTAGCACGAGATGTTCATATTTTCTTCTTAAGGAAAAATAGATTCTTTCATACAAAAAGTATGCGTCTATCTTTAGACGTTCATACTACACAAAAAACTAAAAAATTTCTAGATTTTTATATTTTTTGAGTGATAAAAATTTAATTGTTTACCTAATCACATAATATGTGCTATTAACATTTAAAAACAATAACACTTCACTGATTCAAAATTCAGATTAACGTTTTTTTCTGAGAAAGTGTTCTTGTGTTAAGTCAGTTATTAATTTACACATCTCATTTTCCTTCTGAAAATTTCTGGATAATACTATCAATAATCGGTAAAAAAAATAGCTGGAAAACGTAATCCATTGTGATATTTACTACGAAATCATAACGTCTGGAACTCTGTAATAGACTGACAGTTAATAAACGAACAATCGCTAAATATCCGTTAGATTTACTCAATTTATAAAATTTTCAGTAGGAGAATTACTTTGATCACAAATTGTTATATTCAAGTCTTTGACCTTTTTATTGTTTGTTAAACTTGGGATTATTAAATAGTGAGAAGGTAAAAAAAGCAATCCTAGGATAAATACATTTCAGTCACTGTTGTATATTTGAATACAAACATTCACTGCTAAAGTGTCTTAAAAATAAATTGTTTCACTTGAGCCCAATTATCATTTTGAGACTATCACTAATAAAGCATAGACTATGTAGTTCAAGAACTGATTTGCCTTCTTATTATGGATTCTTTCCATCAATCACTAAAGAGAGACAGAGAAAATAGAGGAAGCCGTATTGCCAAGTTCTTTATTATCTTGATATCTTAAGTATAAAAGAGTCTATCTAGTCTATGTACGTAATCATAAAATCAGTCTAAAACACTTGAATCCAGCGGTTTTCTTTTTTAATCAATACATATTTCTTTCTTATAGAAATTAAATTAAAGCTTTTTATTTGATTGAAAATATTTTTGAAAAGTCTAAATAGATTTTGAAAATAATCATAAATAACTAAAAATTATCATACGTGAGGTCCTGTCTCGTACTTATCGGGTTCAATTTTTTAATCACTATGTGATTAAAAGTATTCAAAGATAGTCGATGAATATTTGTATAAACAAGCATATGAATAAGGATCAATCTAAGACATGAAAATCTAAAAAGTTTCTCGTTTTACCTGTCTGGATCAAAATCAGAACTATGTTTTTCTTCTACATCTTTATTTTCATCTATTTTCGCATCATAAACGGGTACATCGAGTGATATGACATTTTCAATTGGGATTATCTGGTCATCCACTTTTTCTGTTTGTTGTGGCTGTTCTTTTAACTGATTTTTAAAATTATTTTTGTTAACTATTGGTCGTGGTATCAATGTTTTTTTTGCTCTGTCAGAAGTTTGTATATTAGAATTCGAACGTGTCGTCTTAGTAGAATTGAATACTCCTGTAAGTGAACGTACTGGTATTTTTGATTTTACTATTGTTGATAATGATTTGGCTCGGTCTTTTGGTGAGCTTGATGTAGACATACTTTGATCAGAGTTTAAACGAATTGACGAGTCGTGAGAAAATGTACGTCCCGATGATCTCGAACGTGATCGATTTCGATTAACAGGAGAGTACGATTTGGACTTATAACTAGGACACGATGGATGATGATGAGAGTGATTATGATGCAGATGGTCGTGATGTATATCTTCATATTGATAAATACGTCGAGGATGTGATGTATTTACTGTTGGTCTGTTGAGTAACGAGCGACATTTGCACGCTGAGCATCGAGGACAAAGTGGAATTTCAATTGGTTCGGAACCATGAAGAAGTGGATCTCTCCAATCTCTTAATGAATCAACAAATACTGAATGTGAATATGATTGTTGAGAAGCACGATGAAATTCATTATCTGTTGTTGTTGTAGTTTCTAATAAATGAGGTAGTTTTTGAAGTGTTGTTGATACTGGAGAAGATGATGATAGAATATTGTTAGATGACGACGTTGTTATTGTTGTTTCAGACAGTTTGGTACACATATCATTATTGTTTGCTGTAGTGGCCATATATTGCCCTAAAAAAAATAGCATTGTATGTTTGCGTAATAGTACTAGAAATCAATTTGATTATGTATATAGTGAGAATAAAATAAAAAATGAACGTTCAAAATTCTTATTTTTTTATTTTCTAATAAAGAACATGTTTTCTCTGTTGTTTTTTATCAAAGGTTCAGGGTCACTTTTCTTTCTTTTTATACTATTATAAGGGACATACATATAGTTAGTCTATTCAATACATATATATAGATATATGCTGAATGTAAAACGTTTTTCTAATATCACTCCAGAACTCAAAAAAGGAAATACACAATCCAAAAAACAAGGGTTCAATCAGATTGAATCACATTTATATACACGCTTACAGACAAATCATTCGCTTAAACAAAAAAAAAATATCTTAATGTTCTTTTGATAAAGCAGTAAATAAACATAAGAATAGAACTTTTAAACATATATATATATATATATATTGAAATAATTTTGAAGACAGTCAATTAGCTTTTAATTAGCTCTAGTCAAATCAATAACGGTAAGAATAATTTCATTAATTATTAATAATGCGGATATAAAGTTAAAAGATAGCAGCAATATGAACAGATGGTCAATAGTTACATTGTCATTTGAATGAACAAAAAAAGAAAGGTAGTTTTTTAAGTACTTCCCTTAATTAAACAAAAAAAACTTGAAAAAAATAAATGACCATTAACTATGGTTTATTTGACTAGACTGGTCATTTATAAACTATTATATGTTTTAATAAAACTATATCATATTCATCTGAAATCTACTAAAAATTTTCTGAAAAGTATATTTCACTTTTTTGAATAGTATTTCCATAATTTGTTGTCTAACACAACAAACACAATTAAAGAGAATAGATTTTTTGATCATCAACATACAACACAAAGAGTGTGACAAAAAACATTTGTTCTATATTTTTTACCGATAGAAATGACATATACCCTCTAGTGACGTATAAATTAGTGGTGGAGAATAAGAAGTATGCCACTAATGGCTAGACCGGTTAATGATACACAAGAGAGAGTCAGAGAGAAAGAAAAAGAAAGATTTATAAATCAGACAAATTGATAAATACGTCAATATATTAGAACTAATTGTTAACTCTAAGAACACGTTCTAATTTGGCATTAAGAAAAATAAGAAATTCTTTTTTCTACAAACCCTGTCTTAAATCTAAACAAGTAATGATGAATTTAATATTGCTGTCATGTTGTAGTGAGTTCAGCAATAGAAAAAAAAGTTTTTCAATTGTTGCATGTGCACTCCTTTATTTTTGAACTAATCTCTGTACATTTTGAACAAAACAATGCATATTTTACCTGTACAATTTTCAAAATACATGAATGTGTGTATTTGTGAGCGTGAGTGTGTATATACCTTTCATTATTAATTGTTAGATTGTCTTTTCTCTTTTTCTTTTCCAAACTGTTCAAATGTACATATATACCTTTCCGAATTAACAAATGATTCCTGAATGTCTATATTCTACGATGATTTTGAAAGAGTTAAATACAAAAAAAAGAAGAAAAATGAATAAGGGAATGAAGAACGGAAAAGATAATAGAGATTGATTATATTCCAACACATAATATATATATTTTTAATACGACACATACAAAGTCTATAGAAGAAAATTGTCTATAATTATGCTTTTAAGTGAGTTTGTTTTAGTTTTAATGTGTTAATTACTACCACTACGTCTACACGTTGATGACAAGTTAATTTTTGTGATCAACTTAATCTTAAGTAGAAGAACTCTCTCTCTCTCTCACAGAAATACTGTAACTTACTTAGAAATTTTGCACAATACAACGATCTGTTTAATATAATACCTTTCGTGCAAGAAGCTTTTTTGATTCTGCGATTCTTCTCTTTCATTAATTTCATCGTTGTTCAAATATTTTTCTCTACATGCTACTTTTTCTTTTATAGTAACGTTTTCTATTTATTCATAACTCTGACAAACTTCTGTATATTTCTATCTCACTTGAAAAAACTTGAAGAACAAGATTTTCCCTCGCGATTGTTTTCTTATAAAACACCTCAATGATCAATAAATGTGAACGACGAGGTGATAGACGTGTTTAATATTCGTAATAAACTCTGCCAACATTTATCATCATCGATCAAAAATTTGTTAATATAGAGTTAAAATTAATAAACGCTTGAAAAGTGCTGGAGATCTCTTATACAATATATGAAGGGGGTTTATTTTAATTTGAAAAATGGTGTTTGCAAAAGGAATTTGCTGACTTCTCTATAAATTTGTTATTGAACAAATAATGTTTTTATATACTCGAAAAAAATTTAAGTATATTATGGGCACACTGTAATAACACATCACTTTGGAGTGAATTGACTTACATTAGAGAGTGTACACTAACTTTATACTGAACTTTCAAGAGAAATACTATCAGAGACTGTTGAGTCACATATTACTGGTAAATAACTAATTTTAAAGTTCAGATTTGTTTCCACATATTTCATATCATGAGTGGATTGTTACTGTATGTGAAGATTTTTTTTCAATTGTACAGTAACACAAATGGAGTTAATTACTCTTATTCTATGTATGATACCCTGTTGAAATGTCTCATTAGTTCTTTTTTGAATAATGAATCAAATTTCTTATAAATTGGTGTGGCTAGTTTCTTATTCTCCTATAAAACAACGATGTAATGAAATCTAATAGTTTTTCTTTAAACTAACTATTTTTTACGTGTTCTTTCATTTTCCGGAAAAACATATACTGAGAACTAGTATTTCATGATGAAAAATGTCAAGAAAAAAAAAATAGTTAAAAATAAATGTAGAAATATTGAATGATAATAATCACATACTTTGAATACGACAAACAAAAGAAAAAGAAGAGAAAAAAAGTAAGGACTTCGTGCTGAATGAATATTTATTTGAGATATGATAATGAAATAATGGAGAAGAGAAGAAGAAAAAATTGTCTGTGATTATGCAAAATATTTTTTTTACTTCTTTATACGGAGTATACATGACACAAAAAAAATTGAAATTGAGATTTTTTTCAAGTTCTCTTAACTCATCGGGTTTTTCTCTATTCTTCAATAAAAACACAATTGAGTTCAAAGAAAAAAAATATATTTCTTCTATAAGAGATTTCTATTCAAAATGATTATTAATGTCATCTTCATTGATTTTTTTTCAAACCTATTCAGAGATATGTTTAGCAATTAATCTCGTTTCTGTTTAATGTTTGCATAACGGTAAACGTCATCTCACTAATAGAGACCAAAAATAGTCATGTTTTTTTTCTTCTCTGATAAAACAGAAAATGAAAAAAGTTTTCTTTTCTTTCTCGAGAAGAACAAAAAAAAGGATATAGAGAGAGAATATTTCAAGTACTTGTATACATAACCATTTTCATCTCCAGAATGTTGTTGTGTGTGAGAGAAGTACAAGAGTTGCTGATAAACACCACATACCTTTCAAGCATGTGTAACGCGTGGAAGACAGTGCGCAAAAGCCAGAAGCAAGAATAAAACAAAACAAAAAAAAAACACACACAAAAAGTGACGTTCACAATCCAATAGATTTCTATTCAAAAGAAAAAGAACATGTAATAAATCAATAGTCTAGTTCTATAATAATAAGTCAACAGTCAAATGAAATATTACATACTTCACACAAAATTTTTTCTCCAAAACCAATTTCGATTAAAATAGGCAATCTTTGAAGATGACAACAGGTTTTCATATTATAGATATCAAATATATTTCTATGAATTAAAAGATATTATTCCGAATATGTGTGACTTTCGAATATTCGTGACGAATTATGTGTGACTATGGTTATTCATAGAGTGAGCATTTTAAAAAGAAAAAAGGTAGTTAACATACCTGCACAATGACTCTTTTTCGTTCGCACATTGATAAAAGTAAAGTGGTTCAATATTTGTCATTGACCGAACAAAGCTTTTTGTTTTTTTTTTTTGTTTTTATTATGATCTTACAAGGATGAGCTTACATAGTACTTCATACTTAAAACCTATTTTGTATTGAACAAGTTGATGATACAACATTTCGAATTAAAATAAGCTGACTTGTCCTTATTTAACATATAGATAAAATGCATTTTTTTTTGATAAAATTTTAATTTATATACGATTTGTTAACATTTGCAAACGCAATATAACATTAAAATACTAGTATAGTAATAATGATGCTTCTTTTGGCATACGTGTACCAAATTACTTGAACAAAACGTTTCTCATATTATGTGAGAGATAAAAACAGAACGTATTTCTATTAAGAAAAAGCAAATTAAGCCGATGAATCGTGTTTGTATCATAAATTCGCATAAAAATTTTTTTTAGAGCATAATGGTCATTTAATTCTCTTTGAATACTGATTCTTAGTTTTGACTTTGTATTAAAATCGACGTAAAAACGTTCTTAATATCCTTTTAAGCGATAAGGATAAATTTCAAAAAGAAGAATAAAACAATATCTGAGACTAAACAGAATGATCAATTTTGAATTTTATTCAGAACTGCTCAGCACACACGATCCAGCCTTTTATTTCGACTTGCACATTTTTCTCACGATGGATAATATTGCTTTGCTTAAGTTTATTTATCTATTCATTTTGAGTAAAAATCTATTCTCTGTAGTTTAAACATAGACTTCAATATACTTAATATATTAAATACTCTTTCTGGGGCTATTGAATATCTACATGAACAATTTGATGAATGTACGTGCCAGTATATGTGTGAAAAAGCTAAAGCGATTTTCAAAATACAAATGATTATAAGTCTGAGAAAATAAATACTAACATTAACTAAAAAATTATAGTCGATATTTATAATCGGAATTATCCAAATGTAAAAGCTACTATTGTTCATTCAAATGAACAATGGTTTCCGTTGTTTTTTGAATAACTTTTGATAGAAAAATAATAGAAATCTGCGATTTTCCGTTTTGAAAACCGGATACTTAACGCTGCATTTCCATA